GCCACGCCCGCCGTCGCGTACGCCCACACCGTGTTGCCAGGGGCCTGCGCTTGAAGCGATCCAGCCCGCTCCGCACGCTTTCCTCCGCCACCGCCGCGTACAGTGAACGCACCACCCCTATTTGCAGCCGGCACTTTGCCACTCCGTGGGCGATGTTCGCCAGCTTACGTGCCTCGCACGAAGAGACGAGGTCGAACGTGCGCTGCACCAGCTGCTCAAGCCGCTCCTCGTGCCGCCGCTCGACGCGCTGCTTGCCCAGTTTGTTCCACAGGTTCGCAGCGTCGATGTGGTTCAAGCTCGTGCTGTGGGCAGCAAAGAGCGCGAGCAATGCGTCAGCGCTGCCAGCCTGGCTGATCAAAGTCGTCATCTTCCGAGGGTCGACCTGATCACTGTCAGCGCAACGGCTAGAGAAGGGGCGAGATCATTGCGCATTCGTGCGTCGCGTCCTTGCGCTCCGTGCACCGGCGGTCTCTCCCGGCGACCGCTGTGCTGAGGCTGCCCCTCACCGTGTTCGCGCCGGTCATCGCGCCGATCGTGCCAATCGCGCTCGCGCTCGCCTCTGCCCCGATCGTCGTAGCCGCGCCGCTCGTCATGCCGCCCGCCATGATGCGGCCGTCGCTCGCCTCGCCATGGCTCGTCGCGCCATCCCTCAGCGGGCACGTGTGGCGCAGCGTGCCATCGCTGCTCGCGACCTCTGCACCAAGAGTCGTTGTAGCCGCGCCGCTCGTCATGCCGCCCGTCATGGTGCGGCCATTGCTCGCCTTGCCAACGCTCGTCGCGCCGTTGCAGCTCATCCCGCCGCGGCTCATCGCGCGATCGCGACCGCTGTCGCGACTCGCCCCGCCATCGCCACTCTTCGCGTCCGCACTCGTCGGCGCGCCGTTGCTCATCACGCCAGCGATGGGCCATGTCTGCACACTTGTCGTCGCGTGCGAGCGTCCGAGCCCGTCCGGGAACGTGGATCGCAAACCACCCCCGGAGTGCGATAGACGATCGGCGCGTGGCTGGAACGGCCGCAGGGTCAAGGGGCCGCCCCCGAGGCTCCACACCAGGTGTTGCGGCCGCCAGTACCGCCACCGTACCCGCCCCCCCCGCCACCGCCTCCGCCCCCGCCACCGGCGTGGCCGTCACCGCTCTCGGACCCACACGAACCTTGGGGAACCCGGAACCCTACCGCCCCGTCGGAGGCTGGACTGAGCCCTCCGAGCCCCCCGAGCCCGGCTCGGCGGCTCGCCCCTCCGAGCCCTCCGGGCACTCCATCCCTTGTGAGCCCTCCCGAGCCCTCCCGAGCCCACCAGCGCCACCCTCGCGCCTCTCTGCCCTCCGAGCCTTCCGACCCCTCCGAGCTCTCCACCTCTCCCAAGCCCTCACGAGCCCTCCTACGCCTCGCTTTTGGCCAGCCCTCTCAGCCCCCACCCCTCCGAGTGCCCTCCTGGGCCCTGCCGCCTGACACCTCTATCGGTGGAGGGCTTTTTAGGTCACGGTCCACACTCCCGCCCTCCCGACCCCTCCACACCCCTACAGCGGCACCCCTACCCCTCCCGCCGTTTTAGTTAGGTAGGGCAGCCTACCCACCCGCACTCAACTCCAGCGCGTCATGGGAGGGGGGGGAACGCGCTCCGAACCCGGAAGGGTCCCCGGAAGAAAACCCGCATCAAGAAATCCTCGCGAAAGAGAGAGAGGGGGAGGGAGGGAGGGAGGGAGAGAGAGAGAGAGAGAGAGTCAGAGAGAGAGAGAGAGTCGCCCATCTCTCCTGGAGATGTCTGCGGAGGAACCCGGTGCCCGACGACGTGGAGGCTTCCAGCCACATCGAAAGTTTGTCGAGAAAAGAAAAATCCTCAGAAAAAGAAAAGCTCGGCCCAAGACGAGGATCAGGGCAGACGGGGCTCTGGTAAAGCTGAGGAGAGGGGCGTCCGCGATGATACCACGCTTCCACTCTCTACGACTCACCGCCCGTTGTGCTTCGTGCAGGTGCTTGCGAGGCTCGCCCCCCACCTCGTGGCATGGGTGGCCGCCGCGCGTCGGCTGGCAGATCCACCTCCTCCGCCCCAAGAGGCAGGTCAGGGGCGCAAGGCGCAGTTGCAGCTGGGTCCGAAGAGGGTGGTCAAGCTGGTGCCGATGCCGAGGCGCGCCACAAAGCCACCCCGCACAGCCCCCATCACCGCCGCCCTCGTACGAAGCACAACGGGCGGTGAGATGTAGAGAGTGGGAGCGTGGTATCATCGCGGACGCCCTCTCCTCAGCTTTACCAGAGCCCCGTCTGCCCAGAACCCCGTTGGGGAGGGAGGTTTTTTTTGGGCGGCGGGGGGATTTTTCCCTTGGGCTTCCCCCTTTGGGGGAAACCTGGGGGGGGGGGGGAGACAACCGCGGGGGGGGGGGGGGTCTC